CCCCCCCCCCCCCCCCTTTGGATTTAACACAAAGGATTTGGCATTTGAGGGAATTTTGTAGTTACCGCTGGCCTTCGTTTTCCATGAGTTTTGTTTAATGCCAGTTCCTCGTCTCGAGCATTAGTTAATCAAACCACATCATCGTGTCCACCCCCTCCTCTGAATTGTATCCAAATGAGATCTCCTTGCTCGAGCAACGGGGCCATTGTTTCCTTTCTAGGAAAAGTGTGTGTGATTGCTCTGAAAATTAACAGTACGTTAAAACAATTTCAAAAAATGCGTTTAATTAATCCAGTGGTGCCCCCAACACCAGAGTTAACACCTCCTCGGGAGGAAAAAAAAAAGAAAATCGAGGAAACAATTAATAAAGAGCTTTTTTAAAAAAAATCAATTCCCCCAGTGTGAATTTTAAAGTGATTATCTAGGGGGCCAGGATTGATCATTTGATCCTGGCACTGCGGATATCCCTGACATTTATTATATTGTTGTGTCTCAATGGCATCCTTCCTTGAGAGTTCATTTAACAAGTAGGGGAGCCGAGGAAGCCTTAGAACTTAACAAACAGGTCTTGTCATCGCAAACGCCAATCAAATCCCAGGCTCTAATGGATATCACACGGCACCGTATAAATAATAGATGGAAATGATATACTCCTGGATAAAAAGACATTGGTAAAATATGTTGATTGTGTGTGTGCGCGTGCGGGTATGCTTATATATTTGTGTATATGTATACAATATATGTGCGTATATAATATATTTATGTGTATGTATGCATTATATATGTATATTCTATATATTATATGTATAAATATATATGCATGCATATGCTGCATATGTGTGTGTATTACACACCTATATTTATGCACACATATATATGCATGCACATACATTTTCTGTTAGCAGATGGGTGCACGCACGTCGTGCTAACGTGCGCGAGTCGTGGCTTGCGCGTCTTTCCCCTTAGGTGGCTCAGAAACCAGGCGCACCTCTGTAGTGAAAGAGCTGTTTTCAAGTTAAACTCTTCTTGATGGGAAAGGAGGCTCCTAGGCAAGGCCAGGCTGAAGGGAGAGCGCAGCTTCCACGTGTCTACCTCTTCACTTCTAGGTCAGGATTCAGCTGAACTAACTTGAGCTGCAGTTTGTGCATCAGGGAAACTTCTGACATCCCTCCACTCGTTCATTATCGATCTCCTCCCCCCCCGCCCTTTCATTAACAGTCTCTCCCCCT